ATTATATATACTAATATAATTTGAAATCTCGTTTAGTAATTACCATTGTTGACATATGTCTTCAATTTTTAAATCCTCTTTTTTTTTTGTTACACATATATTTTGTTTCAGTCAGGTCAATTTCACGAAGCAGAAATATCTTTATCAGAAGCAAACAGAATTAATAATCAGAATCCAGAAGTATGGGGTTATTTATGTCTTTTGAACATGACTCTTCGAAGATATGACGAATTTATACAATGTTATGCAGAAATGACCAAAGTAAATTCATGTAGTTATATAGTATACTTTCTTATATATATTAAACATAATTTTATCTTTCATTATACAGAGTATGAAATTTTTTAGTTATTTATAATAAAATTAATCTTTAAGAACTTTTATGACATTCTATTTCTAGTATGATATTTTAGTATTTTTTAGTAAAATTATATTTTGATATCTTGAAATCATATTTTGATACTCATATTTGATAAAGAATATTAATCTTAAATATTAATCTATAACAATTAATAAAAATAAGATTAAAAATGTTCTAAATTTTAATGTTGTTAATATATATAATTTGTTCAAAAATAAATTAAACAATATTTTTTATTATAATATAATTTTCATATTTTTTTTATTCAAATAAAATCTATACAATTATTTTATTCTAGTTTGTTTAGATTGAAAATAGAAGTCTTAATGAAATATTAAATAATATTAATATAAAATAATGATAATTATTTCAAAAATTTATTATGAAAAAAATATATTATAATTTGAACATATTTTTATTTTTGTAAGTTTTTTTATATAATAAAGGAAAAAATAAACAACAATATTTTACTAACAATTTTTATTGTTTATTTAATTTTTTTTTTTTTTTTTAAGTATCAGAATAATCTTACAGATAGAAAACTATTGTTGAGAATAACCAACATGATGAAGGCTTTGGATTACACACTACCAAATTTAATAGAAATCAACGATCTTGTCGAGGATCATAATACAGAGGGATCTGAGGAACAATTTTAAAATTAATGGCACCATAACAAATTAGAAAAAAAAAGAAAGTTTGAATTAATAAAGAAAAAATCATAATGGCACTCATTTTTAATTATTGAAAATAATATAATAAAGAAAATAAATACAATTAATAAAAAATTATATCAATAACATTATTCATTAATCAATTTTAATATTATTACATTTTATCATTATATTTTTCATAATATATATTTTAAAAAATGTTAATTTTTATTAATTGAAAATTTATATATTTTAATTAATTAATTAATTTGAAAACTATTAATCATAAATAAACATATAAATATCCAAATTTTCTTATGATGATAATCGATATTCATATTTTATAAATCATCTCCCTCTTTGAATTGTTAAAAATTTAATTTTTTTTCAACATTTAATGATATCCTTTTCAGCTAATCATCTCATTTTAATATCTCATTTTAAATGAAAGATAAAACATAAAGCAAGCATATAACAAAATCGTATAATAATAAAAAAAACGTGCAATAAATAATCTTTTAGTAAAAAGAAGCAAATAAATTATATAAACTATAAAGTAACGTAACATTGTTTTTAGACTAAAGATAAATAAATATAGCCTATAGTTTAATCTTATAATATTTAGAATATTATAAATGATTGCTTTTTCTGTTTTTTCTTTCCTAAATCAACAGTTCCAATGATATTGAAGTATACAACATTTTTTATGTATACATATATCAATCTTCAATATACAATTAATTCCTATAGCCAATTACAAAAATATCATTCGAGATCGCAATATCTGAACAGATGTTAGTATTCTATTGTCGTAAAATTTTATATAAAGTATCAAGAAATACGAATCTTGGCCTTGTCAATTTCTATGTATTATAAAAGCATAGTAGTAGATTAATTTATAGTGTACTAATCCTTTGCAGTTTTATTTCTTTAAAAAATAAAAAAACAAAAACGAATATTTTATATAAAATATTTACATTGTTTTTTCATTTGTAACAATGTAATATTAGAAAAAAAAAAAAAGATAAAAAATCCTTCTGTAAATGAAAATAGAAGATAATCATATAAATAGTAATACATTATCTCCAATGTATTTAAAAAAAAAATTTTCATTTAAAGAAAATATTAATACAAAAAATGATTAAATGTAAACTCACAAAGGATTAAATAACATTAACGATTGTGCGCAAATAGTATCACTTAATAATAATAATAATTTTTTCATTATTTTAAAATTGTCTTGTAAATATTTTGCTGAAAATATTTATAATCTTCAAAATGTTTTAATTTTTCATGAATATTAAATGATAAATTAATTAATTAAAATGTATTGCTATTATTGTGAAATATTTTAAAATCAAATCAAAAATTAATAATTTAATTTTTAATTATTAAAAAAAATTTCGCAATTATTAGCATTTTCAAAATTTTTAAAATTCATTCCTAATGATACGTTAAAACAATATTTTTTATCATAATGAATATTAGAAATGTTTCTAATATCAAAAAGTATAGGCGTAATTCATTACACATTTTATTAAGACTTGATATTGTTTTTATTGCAATATTTTATCATTTATTTCGTTTACTTTTTCTTTGTTTTCTTTTATTTCCTCAATTTTATCTTTATTTTCTTGTACTGAATTTCCATCCACACTTCCATCTGCAGGACTAAAAATATTTTCAGATTTTATTTCGCAAAAATTCATAATATCCTTTAAATTGGTATCAGATACGTTATTTTTCTTTGCTGTATTTTCTAAATTCAATATTTCTTTCTGTATTAATTGTTCTTTTTCTATTAATTTATTATTGCATACAGATTGATTATTAATTTCTATCACAGAATGTATTTTATCTTCCAATAAAGATATAGAATTATCTGTTATCTTCTCTATACTTTGTTGCACTGTAACTTTATCTTCGATATTATCACAGTCGTTTACAAACTGTTCCGTAACTTGTTTTGATTTTTGTTGATCATTTTCATACAAAAGATCTTTATCTATCTCAATAACATCATTAAATACTTCATTATTTTTTAATATTAATTTCTCATGAATATTAATTGGAACCGATATTTCGGAAGACATATTTTCTCGTAAATCTTTTGTTACATTATTTGTATGAGAATCTAAACATTCATTGTTATTTTCAAAGCTATTTTTATCGATATCATCTTTGGTAATGTGTTCAAAATTATCTGTATTTAATATAGAAGATAAAGAAATTTCTTCAATTTTTATTTCTTTTATCGATGATATTTTATTTGTTATCTTATTTTCAATATTTGATTGCACATTTTCTATACTTGATACTTTAATAGATTGAATGTTACAACAATTTTCTGTTGCATTATGTTCAATATTCTGTTCATCATTAATTTTTTTTTCACTATTATATTCAATATTCTGTTCATCATTATGTTTGATATTTAGTTCAACATTATGTTCTATATTCATTTCAGCATTTTGTTCCAATTTTATTTTACTAAGAGTTGAACATTCTTGAGTTTTGTGTATTTGTGAAACATTCACATTTGAAGAACCATCTTCTATTATTTTTATATTTTCCTTTAAAGATTTTGGTGATTTAATAGCATGAGATTTATATTGATCTTTTTGTGTATAAGATTTAAATTCATTTTCGTAATGCTTATATGAATCACTATCTTCCTTTTTTATATCTTTCTTTGAATGATATTGATATTTTGCCTCATTTTCTTTTTTTTTTTGTGAATGAGATCTTTTTAAATTAGGGAACTTCTGATTATTAAAATAAGTTCCTTTGGATTTATCTTCAAATGATTTTTGACGGAAAAACGATTCACCTTCTGACGAAGGTGTATCGACATCTGAATGACTATATGTTAAACGAGTTCTTTGCCGTGGTCCAACTCTTCCAGTTCCAGCTATACTTGGTGAATTCACTAAAATTTACATATTTTAAGAAATTTACATGTATCAAAATTAAATAAAAATCAATATATATGTATATACATATATTATATAACATGCGCGCGTGCCAAATATAAATTTTTTAAACATTGTATTCTAATACTTTTTCATGCAAAATATTTTAAAAAATTGATTCAAATAAAAAATAGTACATTTACATTTTACAAATGCATTATTGTATTTGTAAAAAAAATAAAAAAATAAACATATTATTTAACTTTTTTCTTTTTTTCTATTTCTTATTAAATTATATAATCTCAGATTCATGTAATTTTAATATAAATATAATATATATATTACCTTTAACACTCATTACAGGTCCTTTTGTTATATTGCTTTGATTTACTGTAACCTTAATACTTTTATCAGTTGCAATGACAGTTCTTTCTTCAGAAGTTGGAGAAACAGGAGTTTTTGTGGATATTGCTGTATTATTTCTATGTTGGTCATAAGTATTATAAGATCGATTTTCATAATTATTATAAAAATTCTTTGTTCCACGATGAGGACGATGATTTCCACGAATGTAATTGACATGTTCATTATCTAAAAAAAAAATAATTTCTAATATTTTGTGTATGTAACATGAAATTTAATAGTAACAGATAAACATACTATTAACATGATATCTCTTATCAGAATCTTTATCCTTTTTTGTAAAATCTCCTAATGTAGGCCTTGATGATTTTTTTACTGCATCATATATAATATGTACCTACAATGTAAAATATTTTTAATTTATATTATATTATTGCAAAATTTGTATTAAATTAATACAATTAAATTAATACAAATTAAATTAATAATATAAATTATTTTTTAAATATTAATTTAATAATAATAATATATTATTGATATCTAAAGTTTTTTATTTAAATTTGAAATAAAATTTTTATAATCAATAATTCAATATATTATGAAAATTTATTTATACTTTATCATTATCCCATTCTCTACGCCAATTGCCTTCTGCAGTTCTTTGTCTACTAATACGATCTTCATCAATACGATTTCTTTCTGCTCTCCAAGCATCATATGCTGGTTGAGATTCATCTCTGTAATTTCCTTTATTTGATTTAATATCCTATATATAAAAATAAAGTTCTTCATATTTCATAAAATCAAATAAACTTATAAAAACAACATTATTACATACTTTCTGATTACCCTCTCTGCTATTAATCTTTTTTCTGAAACTTCCTTTTGTTATTTTATGATGACATCTATTCCCATTATTTTCTTTTATATATTCTACATTAGGTTCTTCTCGTTCAGAATCTGCTAAAAAATTGTATTTAGGATCCGGTGGTGGTCCCTCTCCCTAAATAATATTTTGTTTTATCTTAAAATTTAATTATTAAACATGCATATAATAGAAAATAAATTTAATATGAATTCTATTATATACTTGAGCAAAAGAATGAATTTTTTTTCCTTCCCCAGCATGGGAATGTGATATATATTCATGTTTTTCTTTGGTTAATTTTGGTTTAATTTTAGGAGGATTTACAAATTCTGGTGGTTCTTTTCTCTCTGGCCAATCTGTTGATGGTACCATTTGTACCAAAGCATTTAATTTTGCTGCATTTTTTTTATCTTCTTCAACTTCCTAATATAATAAAAATAATTTTATTATAAAACAAATTTTATCAACAATATAAAATATTATAAATTTATAATTACATTAAAAATATATATATAAAATTTATTATGTAAATTTTTATCACATTAAATATATTTATAGAATTATATACCTCATATCTTCTTCTAATTTCTTCATTTTGCTGTCGAATTTTATTTATTTTTTCCTCAAGTGCATTAGATGCCATCTAAAATATATAAAATTTATATTGAAAAAAAATAAAAATTTTTGAATTCATTTTGAATTTAGAACGATATTATTTACGTTTAAAATCTAAAAATATGTAAAGTATTTTTTCTTCAAATTTTTAAAAATGATAATCTTGAATATTTTAATTATATATTAGAAAGTATAATTATTTATACTATTTCACGAATATAAAATACAAATTTAAATTCATATAATAAAATATATATTTAAATTCATTTTCACTATTTAAAACTATTTACACTATAAAACATTTTCACTACTAAAACTATTTAAGATCAGATATTAAATAAAATACAGTTCTTATAAATTTAATGGATCATATCAATCATAATAAGTTGAATATTTTTAACATCAAAGTATATATTCATATCACGTTTTTATCGTCCTGCTTCAAGAAGAATTTTACTTCCGAATTCCTCCAAATAAATATTATAAAATACATAAATAATTTAATGTATATAGATTTATATTTTATATTTATATTTTTTCTCTGCATACATAAAAACTTTATCAAAAATAGGAATTTCGTTAACGAAAAAAAATTAACCTTAATTAGCTTTAATTGCTATACACCCTATTAATCAAAATTATAAGAAAATTCAAATATTTCAGTTTAAAAACGAATTAAATTTTGTTTAATCGTTAAAAAAATTGAATTTTTTTTTAAAACTGAATCTATTTATATATAGATATTTATGTACATAATATTCATTAATTTATATAAATTAAACAATACAATAGAATAAAGAGTTTTTACAAAAGTTTGGCGTATTAAAATAATTTATATAAAACTAGGTTATATGAATGTACAATTGATTTCTTTGAAATGTAAAAATGAAATAAGTTTAGTATAAAATGTAATAATGATTAAAAAAAATAAACATAACGTACGGTTGCAAGTAGCTGCAAATAGTGTCAAGAGAAAAAAAATTAGAACATCACGAAGAAGAACGTTATGTTGCTTCAATTAAAAATCAGCCACATATGTCACTATTGAGCACTACCCTTATTTTTCCTAAGAAGGACACATTGACACTGCACAACATTCACAGATGCCTTAGTGTAATAAGAAAATTATTAATATGGTAGTTCCAGTGGTTTTCATTATGATATATAAATTTTATTTTTTATAAAACATTAATAAATATACTGATTTATCTACAAATTTGATTAAATTTTTTCAAAATTATATTTTTGTTAATTAAATATAAAATGAGATCATTTTTAATTTATAATAAAACGAATATATTAAATGAAATATATAATTTAAACAATATTCAATTGCAATATAAAATACTTATTTTAACTATTAAAAATATAAAATATAAAAATAGTTTTATAAATCTTTATAAATTCATAAATTAATTGTATATATTTTTTGAAAATTTCATAGAATATTAGATTAAGATGTGATATAATAATATTAATGATTTAAGTATTGAATGAATACCACTGTTACTGCCATGCGTAGACATGTCAACTCTTTTCATTACTGTTCTGCAATGATCAGAAATTCAATTTGTTTGTATTCTGATATAATAATTATTAGTCAATCTTAGAAAATCGTAAAATTATGAAAGACCAAAATTTTTTGCTTTTAATAAATGGTGTTATTATGAATGTCATATTTATTATAAAGCATAACCTAATATATAAAATTTGTAAACATTGAAAATATACAGGTGGTTAACTTCCATAAGAAAATAGCCTCAATAAGAAAATATTTAGAGCGTACCTTTAAAAATGAAAATATCGAAATCTACTGTAATTCTTTTGGTTTTTGTATTAATGTTATCGATATTTGTAGCAAATGTTGCTGACCTGATCAATGTTGATAATCATATATTAGATGATACCTTGCATAACGCAGACATGAAAAAAAAATGGTCACAACCAAAATTTTATGATATTGGAGCATCATTTGATCATTTAATATGGTTTCTACAAGTTTGTATTTTATAACAAAAATATTTATTTATAAATTATATATAAACAATTTATTTTCTTTTAATTAATTTCTAAACATTTTTTTTTATTTTATTAGATGCATTTTTTCATGTTTTTAGATATCAGATATACACATAAGTATATTTCAAGATCCATTTAGAATAACAGAATTAAAAGAATTTTGTAATATTACTGTGGGTACCATAAAACCTTCTGTTGTGCTTGCTTCAGGTAATTTTTTTAAAATTAATTTTTTAATATTTATGATATAATAATATAATAATTTAATAGGTGACCTCACGGATGCAAAAGCCAAAGATAAAATGGGATCAAAACAAATATTAGAAGAATGGCAATATTATAAACGTATTTTAGATGATACTGAAGTTAGCAAAAAAACTTTATGGTTAGATGTAAGAGGAAATCATGGTAAGAAGTATATATCATTACTATTTATTAAAATACTAAATAATAATATATAATGTTTATTTATATAAATTTATAAAATGAAAATTTAAATTTATTATTTATATAATGCATAAAATATATATATTAAAATTAGCATTATATATTATAATATATTATAATAATATTCATAACTAATTATTAATACAATATTATTTAAATTTATTTCAGATAATTTTAATGTACTAACTCTTGAATCAAAAAATAATTATTATTCAAATTATTCTATTCAAGGAAAGAAGCATCCTAGATCATATATGTATACTATAAATATTGGTTCTAAACTATATACATTTATTGCAATAGATGCTTGCTTAAAACCTGGTCCACGAAGACCATTCAATTTTGTTGGCATGTTAGATGAGCATGAAATTAAAAGTATACATAGTTTAGTAAATAAATCCAAAAATAGTAATACGGATTTTATAATATGGTTTGGTCATTATCCTACATCCTGTATATTATCACAAACTAATATTAGAAATATTATAGGTAACAAAATATATATATATTTATTTATTTATTTATATTTAATATATTTATAACATAATTAATATTTATTTATAATATATTTTCAGGTAGACATAAAGAAAGTATGGTATATCTTTGTGGGCATTATCATACTCTTGGTGGCGCAGTGCCTAATATGTATACACTACAACAAGCAGGATTTCTTGAGTTAGAGTTAGCAGATTGGAAAGATAATAGAATGTAATATATATATATATATTTTATTGTATTATATTACAAGTAGAGGCATATATATATATATATATATATATGTTTTTTTTTCATATTATTTTACATATTATTATAAGTAATTGTAATGTTGATTTAAAAAAATTATTGATTTAAAAATATTACTATGTTTATTCATTTTCAGGTATCGTTTAGGAGTAATAGATCATGGTCAATTTTCATTCATTGATATAAAACATAAGGAATGGCCTGTAGTATTAATCACTAATCCTAAACATGCTTTATATATGATGCCTAGAAAAGAAAATATAATGTCTATTATTAAATCTACTCATATTAGGTAAATATTTTTTTATAATGAAATATTTCATGTATTTAGGTTATCATAATTTTATGTATTTAGGTTAATTGATATCATAATGACTAATGTAAATATAACTATTTACTACTAAAAATTTTATAATATTTTTTATTTTTTATTCTGTAGGATATTGGCATTTTCGATAGCACTGATAAAAATTGTTGAAGTTCAGTTAGATGATAAATTTTGGTTTGAATGTGAACACATTAAAGGACCACTTTATGTTTTGAAATGGAATACAACAAACTACAGAGAGGGAATACATACTATTCGAGTTTAGTAAAATATATTTATTTATTTTTTAATGGTATTTCTTTCATAAAAATTTTAATAAATTTAATAATTTTAATGGTTGTAGCCATATATAAATGATATTATTATTATATAACAATTTAGAGATTGAAAATTAATAACAAAAAAAATTATTGTAGGTAAGAGTTACAGATATAGATGGAAGAGAAACAACAATATTTCAACCATTTGCTCTTGATGGCTCACGTTTATCATTTCGCATTTTACCTAGACTTATACTTATGTCTAATGTCAGTAATATTGTACGTAATATAATATATATCATGAAATAGTTATGTATTTATGTAAGTTTATATATTAATATGATTTTTTCTTTTACAGTTTCAATTTTTATTTGGAACAGTATTAGTTTTATTAGTAATTCCATTATGTATACTTCGTTTTCTTCATATATTATGTGAAAGTGAGTAAATTATATTTTATATAATATGTTAAGTATTATACAATTTATATTTATACAATTTATACAATATATATTTATATGATATAAATTATATAAAAAACTAAAATATTATATAATTGAAATTTAAGAATAAAAAAGATTAATTTCAATTTATTAAATAACTAAATGTTAGGTTGATTATTTCTATATAATAATTTAACATATAAATAAGGTTTTTAATATTAATTATAAATTGTAATTGAAATATTTTTTAATTAGGAAAGCAGATACATCGACCAAGATTCAGAATAAAATTTTTTCATTCATGGCTTAGAAAATTATGGATATTATCAACTGTTGACCGTCTATTTTTTCCATTAGTATTGTATGCATTATATTTAACAGTTGGTAAGAAAATAATATAATGAATGTAATTTTACTAAAAATCACATGATCAAATAGACAAAAAATTCTTAAAAAAATATTTATTATATTGCAAAATATATATTAATACATATAATTTCATTCCAATTTTCAAGTGAAAAATACATTCAATTTGTAAAAAAAATTTTAAGGTCCATGGGCAGTTGGTGAAGTAATAGAAAATCAAACAGGTATAATTTTTGCTTGGGGAACATTTATTGGAAATTCTTTTTTGCCTGGTGCTTTTACTTATGCTTATGGATTTTTCCAATTATTTTCTTTCCATCTACCACTAATGTTAATCCTAGCTAATAGAGTAGATAAGCGGTAAGATAAAAAATATAATTTTTTATTAAATATCTTAAATTATACTTATATTTGTTATTAAGTAAATAATATAATATATATATAATAATTAAAAAGTTAAATAATTTTACAGGCTACAAAATACTACTAAGCCAAATAATAAACCATTGTCTAAAATTTGTTTTATTTTACAATATTTACCAATAATATTATTAATTATTATGCAAACATGTATGGCTTATTTCTTCTGGTTAGCATATGGAACATTAGCTACTATATTATGTCCCTTACGCACATGGAGTATTTTTTTAGCAATGATGTTATGGCATCAAGTAAATACTATGCCACATTCATGTTTAAGGTATGTATTATAATATAATTTTTAATTATAATCTAATATTTTATAAAATAAAAATTACTTTTTATTTTTTTTATTCTTATATTATTTTATTTAATTTTTTATATTATTTCTATATGAAAATATTATAATTATATAATAATTTAATATATAAGTAAAATAATTTTCAAATATAGATAAGTGATTAAAAAAAGATAGATATACTCGCAATCACTTAATCAGTTAAATAAAAATCATAAAATTTCATGAAAGAAAAACGATATTCATGTAAAGAATGTTACTATATCATAAAATTAAATTTTATAAAATCTTAATCGAGATTAAATATAATCATTTTTCTCAGGATTACTTACTTGTAATAATAAGCAATTTATTATTAAATATATTTAATTTTATCTTATGTACTAATCATAATTTTTTTTGTTATAAAGGTCTGCTGCAAAAATATGGTCTCCTCTTGGGTAATTTATAGAAGGTACAATAATTTACTATGATAATATAATAAATTATTATTTATTTTATATAGTTCAAATATTTTCATATTCTTATGTACGTATTAATAAATTTACGAAAATATATATATATATATGTGTGTGTGTGTGTGCGTGTGTATGTATATATATATATATTTTTTTTTTCATTAACTTCTTACATAATAAATATATGTATATTTAAATAATATACATAAATATAATTTTTATTTTTTATCTAATAAATTCAAAGTTTTAAATTTATTATGAATGAAGATTAATATAATATAAATTTAAATTAGTATAAAAAAATAAAAATTATTTTATTTATTTAAAGTAATAAATTATAAAAGTTGAAATAATTG